ACCCAAACCTCACTGAGATCCTAAGCAAACCTCACTGAGACCCAAAGCACAAATCACTGAGATCCACAGCACACCTCATTATAAACCACAGCAAAACGCACTGCAGGCAGCTTGACACTTCAGTGAGACAACAACACATATCTCTGAGACACACAGCGCAAAACTGTGACCCGCAGCAAACCCCCTTGAGACCCAAACCTCACTGAGACCTCAGCAAGGCTCACTGAGACCCACAGCATGATTCACTGAGATTCCCAGCAAACCTGACTTTAAACCACAGTATACACAAATGCTATCAGTACCACACTTCACTGAGACCACAACACACATCACTGAGACCCACATTATAAAACGGCAACTTACAGCACATCCCACTCCAACCCAAACCTCACTGAGAACTACAGCAATCCTCACTGAAATACACAGCACATCCCACTTTAACCCACAGCACCCCATTTTAACCCACAGCACACCCCACTGTGAGCCACATGATACATAACTGAGAGCACAGCACACATCAGTGAAACCCACAGCACAAAACTGCAAACCATAGCACACCCCACTCAGACCCAAACCTCACTGAGACCCTCAGCAAACCTCATTGAGACCACAGCATATTCCCTGAGATCCACAGCACATCCCACTTTAAACAACTGAACAGCCCACGGCAAGTCACACCACACCTCAGTGAGACCACAGCACACATCACTGAGACCCGCAGCACAAAACTGTGACCCACGGAACACCCTTCTCAGACACAAACCACACTGAGATTCACAGCAAATCTCACTGGACTACAGAGAAAACCCCACTTTAACTAACAGCATACCTGACTTTGACCCACAGCACAACCCTATGTTAGCCACACAACACCTCCATGAGAGCATCGCACACATCACTGAGATCCACAGGACAAAACTGTGAACCACAGCACACCCTACTGAGAACCAAAACCTCACCGAGACCCACAGCAAACCTCACTGAAATACACAGCACACCCTACTTTAGCCCACAGCACACCTGTTTAACACAGAACAACCCTTTGTGAGCTGCAGGAGACCTCACTGAGATCAGAGCACACATCACTGAGACACACAACACACCCCATTCAGACACAAAACACACTGATACCCACAGAAAACCTCACTGGAATACACAACACACCCCACTGTAACCCACAGCACAACCCTCTATGAGCCACATGACACCTCAGTAAGACCACAGCACACATCACAGAGACCCACAGCACAAAATTGTGAACTACAGCACACCCCACACAGATTCAAATCTCACTGAAGTTCTCTGTAAAGCTCACTGAGGCCCACAGCACAGTTCACTGAGATCCACAGCACACTCCACTTTAAAGCATAGCACACACCTCTGTGAGCCACGCCACACCTCAGAGAAAACACAGCACACATCACTGAGAACCACAACACAAAAGATCGACCAACAGCACACCCCACTCAGACCCAAGCCTCACTGATACCAAAAGAAACCTCACTGAAATACACAGAACACCCCACTGTAACCCACAGCACAACCCTCTATGAGCTGCACGACACCTCAGTGAGACCAAAATTGTGAACCACAGCACGCCCCACTCAGATCCAAACCTCACTGGGATTCTCAGAAAAGCTCACTGAGACACACAGCACAATTCACTGAGATCCACAACCACCCCACTTTAAACCACAGCACACCCCTTTGCAAGCTGTACCACACCTCATTGAGAACACAACACACATCACTGAGAACCACAACACAAAAGAGCGACCCAGAGCACACCCTACTCAGACCCAAACCTCACTGAGACCCACAGAATACCTCACTGATATATACAGCACACACAACTTCAACCCACACTACACCCCACTTTAACAACAGCACACCCCACTGCAAGCCCCACCACACCTTTGTCAGGCCACAGCACACATCACTGAGACCCACAGCACAAAACTGCAACCCACAGCAAACCCCACTTATACCGAAACCACACTGAGACCTTCAGCAAACATCACTGACACCCACAGCACAATTCATTGAGTTCCACAGCACACTTCATTTTAACCACAGCACACCCCACTGCAAGTTGCACCACACCTCAGACTACAGCGCACATTGCTGAGACAAATATCACAAAACTGAAACACAGCACATTCCAACCAGACCCAAACCTGAGTCCCACAGCAAACCTCACTGAATTACACCCCACTGAAACCCACAGCACAGACATCTGTAAGCTGCATGACTCCTCAGTGAGACCACAGCACACATCAGTGAAACCCACAGCACAAAACTGTGAATCACAGCATACCCCACTCAGACACAAACCTCACTGAGACCCACAGAACAATTCCCTGAGATACACACTACACCCCTTTTTTAAACAACAGCACATGCCTCTACAAGCTGCACCACGCTTCAGTGAGAGCACAGCACACATCTCTTAGTACCACGGCACAAAATTGCAACCCACAGCACACCCCACTCAGACCCAAAACTCGCTGAAACCCTCACCGACCGAATCTCACTGAGACCCGCAGCATAGTTCACTAAGATTCACAGTACAACCCACTTTAAATCACCACACACCCCACTACAAGCCATACCACACATCATTGTGACCACAGCACACATCAGTGAGACCCACAGAACAAAAATGAGAACCACAGCATACCACACTCAGACACAAACCTCACTGAGATCCTCGGCAAAGCTCGCTGAGACCCACAGCACAATTCACTGAAATCCAAACCACAGCTCACTTTAAGCCACAGCACACCCTACTGTGAGCCACACGACACCTCAGTGAGACCACAGCTGTGGAGTGTGCTGTGGTTTGACATAGGGTGTGCTTTGGGTTAATGTGGGGTGTGCTGTGGATCTTAGTTGACTGTGCTGTGGGTCTCATTGACGTTTGCTGTGGGTCTCAGTGAATTTGGGTCTGAGTGGGGGAATGTTTTGCTTCGCAGTTTTGTGCTGTGGGTCTCAGTGAAATGTGCTGTGGTCTCACTGAGGCGTTGTGCGACTCCCAGAGGGTTGTTCTGTTTGGTTAAAGTGGGGTGTGCTGTTTGTTAAAATGTGTCCTGTGTTTTTCAGTGAGGTTTGCTGTGGACCTCAGTGAGGTTTGGGTCTGAGTGGCATGTACTGTGGGTTGCAGTTTTGTGCTGTGGGTCTCAATGATGTGTGTTGTGGTCTCACTGAGGTGTTGTGTAGCTCACAGAGGGTTGTGCTGTAGTTTAAAGTGGGGTGTGCTGTAGTTTAAAGCAGGGTGCGCTGTGGTTTAAAGTGTGGTGTGCTGTGTATTTCAGTGAGGCTTTTCTCTGGATCTCAGTGAGGCTTGGGTCTGAGTGAGGTGTGCTGTGCTTCACAGTTTTGTGCTGTGGGTCTCAGTGATGTGTGCTATGATCTCACTGAGGTGTGATGTGGCTCACAGTCTGGTGTGCTGTGGTTTAAAGTGGGATGTGGGTCTCAGTGAGGTTTGCTGAGAGTCTCAGTGAGGTTTGGGTCTGAGTAGGGTGTGTTGTGTATCACAGTTTTTTTGTGGTACTCAGCGATGTGTGCTGTGGTCTCACTGAGGTGTGGTTCTGCTCCCAGTGGAGTGTGCTGTGTTTTAACGTGGGGTGTGCTTTGGATCTCAGTGAATTATTCTATGGATCTCAGTGAGCTCTGAGTGTCTCAGTGAGGTTTGGGTCTGAATGGGGTGTGCTGTGGTTCACTGTTTTGTGCTGTGGGTCTCAGTTATGTGTTCTGTCATCTCGGTGATGTGTTGTGCGACTCACAGAGGGTTTGTGCTGTGGTTGAAATTTGGGTGTGCTGTGGGTTAAAGTGGGATGTTCTGTGTATTTCAGTGAGATTGGCTGTGGGTGTCCATGAGGTTTGGGTCTGAGTTTTATGTGCTGTCGGTTGCTGTTTTGAGCTGTTGGTTTCAGTGATGTGTGCAGTGGTCTCACTGAGGTGTCGTGCAGCTCGCAGTAGGGTGTGCTGTGATTTTAAGTGGAATGTGCTGTGGATCTCAGTGGAATTGTGCTGTGGGTCTCAGTGAGGTTTGGGTCTAAGTAGGATGTGCTGTAGTTTGCAGTTTTCTGCTGTGAGTCTCAGTGTTGTGTGCTGTGGTCTCACTGAGGTATGGTTTGGCTCACAGTGGGGGGTGCTGTGGTTTAAAGTGGGGTGTGCTGTGAATCTCCTGAGTACTGAAGGGGCATGGGAATGTGAGGACGCTAAGTAGAGCCTTTACTTGGTTGGGGAATCTTTGTGATAGGAAGAGACTTGATACAATTACTGACATTTTAGTCATTTAATTCTGGAAAAGAACCTACTTAAAATTAAAGCAAAATCAAAATTTCTGTGAGAAATAAAATCATTTGCCCCCAAATTTATCAAAAATGTCTCTTGAAAAATTAAGATCTAAACTAGATTTTAAAAAAATAGTTCAGTAGTTCTCAAACATTACAATCACCTGGAAGTTTTAAAAATACCCTGTGATCAGACTGCACCCCAGACCAAATGAATGTGAATCTTGAGGTGGGTCCAGGGCATTTTTAAACAGCTCCGATGTGCAGCCAAGTCTTGCACACCAATGGTTTTAGTCAAAAATTAATACACAATGATGTTAAGCTCAGTAACTGACCCAAATTAAGAAAATATTGGTACTTTGGGGGCCAGCGAGTGGTGATAAAGACACCTATTCCTTTATTCTTAAAATTTTTTGCCTTCTTGGGCTTGTAATCATAATTTCTTGCACAGTTCTTCCTTATGTATACATATTTTTCTACTAGAATAGGACATCTAAGAAGGAGGTGATAGAAAAATGGCATAGGATGCAGTGGGGACCAGAAAGTGTAAGTCCTGATGATCAGAACATGAGATTCTGCCCCCCTCACCCTTAATACAATTGTCCAACTGAAGATTGGGCAACTCAGAGTTTTGGGCACTAATAACCACTGAAACTGGTGTGAGATGCATATAGCATGTTTTTATATAATTTTTTCCTACAGAAAACAAGAAAAAGAGTCCTACCAAAAAAGTCTATATCTCAGCAACTAAATGCACTAGGAATGATGCAAAGGAGTTGACAAAGAATAACAAAATAACTCAAGGATATACTATGATGAATTCAAAAGGCATTTAAAAACTACAGAACAAGTAGGTGCACTTGTGTGCATATTTTCATATTTTGCAACTGCTAATAGAATCTTAAATGTTTGAGGTTTTTTTGTTTTGTCTTTTTTTTTTTTTTAGAGGTTTTCACTATAGGGCGCATGCGCTTGCCAGACAGAGAGAGACAGAGAGACAGAAAGCGAGAAATCACCCACCAGGGGGGATGTTCACACCGCAATCCCTTCTCCTCCATTCTCCTCTTGGGATTCTGGGCACGTACGCACACATGCCCGGCGTGAGTTTTAAGCCACTGGGTCTGGGATGCAAACCGCGGTCGACTACGTGGGAGTCCAGCGACATAGCCATTACACTAACTGCTGGTTCCCAAATGTTTGAGATTTAACTAACTTGCCCAGCCCCCACCAAATAGCAGTCAGTAAATAACCTTCCAAACAGTACAGACAAACATGCTCAGAATAGTAAGTTAAGTATTTAAAAAAAATTTTTTTGAGAGGTTTTTGCTATAGGGCACGTGCACTCGCCAGAAAGAGACAAGGAGACAGAAAGCAAGAAATCACCCCCCAGGGGTATGACCACGCCACAATCCCTTCTCCATTCTCATTTCAGGATCTTGAGCACACTTGTACACACACCTGGCATGAGTTTAAACCACCGGGTTCGGGACTCGAACCGCGGTCGACTACATGGGAGTCCAGCAACATAGCCATTACACCAGCTGCTAGTCCCAGTGCTAAAATTTTTTACTTTCATGATTGTGATGATGAGTCTCTCCAAACCTTCAGAGCATAAACATTACAGCTCATCCATTCAAAATTAACTGCACAGGTGAAGAAACTGGATCCCACATGTCTGTTTCAAATTCTGGCCCCAGCTGCCTAAAAATGGTTATGTGCATGTGTTTAAAATCCTCAGAAGGAAAAACAGGAAATGCAATTGCCATGTGACCATGCCCCATTGTAGGGTGCATCCTCTCTCTCTCTCTGGTGAGCACATACACCCTCTAGCAAAAAACCAAAAACCAAAAACCAAAAACCAAAAAACAGGGAACCAGCAGTTAGCATAATGTCTATGTCACTGGACTCCCACATAGTCGACCGTGGTTCGCATCCCGGACCCAGTGACTTAAAACTCATGCCAGGCACATGTGCGTGCGTGCCCAAGATCCCGAGAGGAGAATGAAGGAGAAGGGATTGTGGCATGACCATCCCCCCTGGGGAGTGATTTCTCGCTTTCTGTCTCTAATGTCTCTCTCTGTCTGGCGAGCACACGCGCCCTATAGCGAAAGTCTCTCCAAAAACAAACAAAAAACAAAAAAAACCCAGAACAACCACAGGATAACAGTTTGTATAATACGTATATCCTAATACATATTCATTAAATCAAAGAAACCAACTTTTAGATGCAAAATTCAGAGGTGTAACTTCATGGGAAAAATGTGTCTCTGGATCAACAAAATATGACATGTGTGTATGGTTTACTGCAGTTCGAGTCCTGGATCTGGTGGCTTGAAATTCTTATTGGGCACATATGTGTGCATGTCCAAAGTCCAGAGGAGAATGGAGAAGGGATTGCAGCATGGCCACCCCACCCCCTGGGAGTGACTTCTTGATTTCTCTCTGTGTGTCTCTGACAAGTACACATGCCTTTTTGCAAAAATCTCTCTTAAAAAGGAATTAAGAAAGGAAAGGAATACATCAAGTACTTATATTTATTCATTTGGGAAAGAGAAACCAGTCTTACTGCTTAACATTGTGAATTTTTTCCCCAATTAGTATGACAAAATACAATTAAATGTAGAACGCTTGAGGTTTTTTTTTTTTTTTTTTTTTTTGTAGTTAAGCTTTTTATTATTATTTTCTTTACAGGAACAACAATTCAGACATATCTTCAACCAAATGATAAACAAAACCTGTTACATAAAATATGCTATATTTTTGTAATAGATCAAAATACTGTATTGGTGAAAATAAATAGGTAACAAAAAACAACATACTTAATTTCTGTGCTTGCTATCAGACCCCACAGGTGTACTTGTCTTCATAGTTCATTATAAGTGAAAAAAATGGAAACATACAGGCATGCACAATTATGCCACTGCTAGAGGTTTTAGATTATATTTGTTAAAGCTTTTCTTAATAAAATGATAACAACACATTGCTAGGTACACAGAGACATAATTTTTCTCTCAAGAGTAACTGAACTGTTGAGAGCAGCAAATGCTTCCTAAAAGGATTCTAGTGTAAACAGAATAGCATAATATATGATGAGCATTGTAAGATTTTCTGTTTTCCAAGTCTAACCAAAGTCTGTAAATTAAAAAAAAAAAAAACAAAAAAAACCTAAAACAAACCCAAACATTAAGTCATACTGACAATCTTGTTCTCACGTATGGCAGAATAGTACTAATACATCTGTTTTATTTCTTTACTTTTTTATTAAGAATGCATCTTAGGTGTTTCTCTCTCTTTTTTTGGAGGGGGAGCATTTTACATTCAATGTCCATTGGCTCCTTCTGAAAGTATCCGTGAAGGTTCAGTAAATTTTGCAGTGAACAAGTAAAAGAGGGCTGGTGTAGGTACCAAAGCCAAAAGGGGCAAATCTTGTTCAAGTTTATCCACTCTGGAAATGGAGATTATTCCATAGGCATGAAGTAACCAGTGGCTGAAGAGAACAATAAGTCTTTTCTTTCTGACCAGAAGATCATAGCAATTCTATGTAATTTAGAAAAAGAAAGAAATGCAGATTATCAGGCTAAATCAGCTACATAATTTAGTACAATTTAATATAAAGTGTGTTGCTTATTTTCATACAAAATCATAACCTCGGAATTCCAAAATGTTTACGCTAAAAAGGACCCAGATAATTCTCCATCCTATTGAAGCCATGACTCATTACAAATGAGGAAACTGAGGTTTTCTATGGTCACATTAGTCCTCAGCAGGAGCACTAAGACAGAAGCCTGGGTCTCAAGTCCTAGTCTACACTGTAGCTTCTGAAAGACAGAACTAGAAGAGGAATCCCACATTCTGTGCTTTCTTCCTGCCCTGATCCACCTTAGCTAGGAGTCTACATATGAGAAACAGGAGTCTGCTGCCTGGATAATTAGGTGTGAATACCCTGATTTTCTCTGACTCTTTAACATGGCCATATAATATGCAAAAATTAGAAAGACCAAATTTATATAAAAGTAATACCCAAGTGTACTACTAAGTGCAATGAAATGTAATTTGCAATGTGTTAGTCACCAACTTTCTCTTATTCTTAAATGGATCAACTGACCTAGAAGAAAACTGCTGTTTCCTGATTTAGGTCCCTATTTCTAATCATATATAGAGTGCTAACTGAAGTACATGAACATTTTATATAGGAGAGAGTTACAGGGGCAGTGAAACAAACTCATTTCAACCTAATTTCTCAGTGTATAGCTAATTGTTACCTATGAAGAGCAAACAAACATGCAAAACCTCATTTTATTAAATATCCAGTCATTTCCCCCTCAAATTTTCCCAAGTTAAAAGTGTCAAAACTAATTTGCCCATCTTCTTGAATTAAACAGACTGCAATGCTGATTAAAGATTATAAAGGAGAAATGAGGATAGTCTGGAAATGTTAACAACTGGATAAGCACGATCAAAAACAGTCTGTCTAGTTCCTCATTATTGCTCATTATTCTTCCTAAAAGTCGCTATGAATTCTAGGTGTTTTCTCTCTCTCTCTTTCACTAATGTAATGGAAAAAGTGGCAGCAATGGCAACAGCAACCATGCCAAAATAGTTAAAAAATGTATTTCCTCTGGGTTGAGCTTTTTTATGTTAAGAATTATGAGAAAGCGCAAATCTTCTCAACCCAGCAGGCAGTTTAAGACACTTCACAAGCACTAGATTAGCAAGCAGAGGATGGAAGAGTACTAAGACACCTTACACACTTGTACTCTTGTAGAGTTTAGCCTCAACAATAGAGTTTTAAGTCAGAGACATTAATGTATTTAAAAGGAATCATTTAAATTTGATTAAACTAAACAGAAGTAGAGAACCACATAATTATTTTAGAAAGAAAATTTCAGAAGACTGCATGTGAATAAAGTGCAGAGATGCAAATAAAGTTTAATGAATTTATTTCCCCTAGTTAGTCAACACTATTATTTTCCTTTTATTGTTCAGTTTTGAGTGACACTGATTTAGTTCCTTAAAAATTCAATATTTAAGAATAAAAGTATGGGGACCAGCAGGTGGCATGGTGGCTAAGGTGCTGGACACTCCCACATGGCTGTCCACAGTTTGAGTCCTGGACCTAGTGGCTTGCTTTCTCACTTTCCCTCTTTCTCTCTCTCTCTCTCTGTGTTCAAATTAAAACTAAATGAATGAATGAATGAATAAAAGTAAATAAATAATTCTTTAAAAAATAAAAGAATAAAACTATGATGACATGATATCCTACTGTACCAACTGACTTACAAATTTTTTGGCCAAATATATCCTGAAAATTAAAAAACAACAAATGAAGTTCTTCCAGTGAAATACTAGAAGGTTAGAGGTACAAAAAGGATATTTTAAAAAAGGAACGGTAGCAGAACCAATGTGATTATTAATGGTATCTCCAAATCACAAATCTATTAAATATTATGTTAATAAATACTATGGGGCAAAAGTAAACATCCATAATCAAGAAAATTAAACTAGATATTAATATAACTGGAAAGAGAAGGATATAAAGTACATAATAAACATTGTTTGCATTCATGAAGACATGATAAAATGTTTAAGTGCCTAAGAACTGATGACTAGGCTGAAAAATTGTGATACATATACACTATGGAATACTATTTGGCCATAAGGCACAATGAGACTGTCATTTGACTCAAAATGGTTAAGTATGGGAGGCTTTCTGCTAAGCAAAGTGGGCCAGACTTTGAAAGCCAAACACTATATCCCTGTTCAGTATATAACAAGTGTGTGCACTCTGTGCAGAAATTCAAAGAGGATAAGTGTAGAGAGAGCCTGTAAGGGAAGGAGTGAATGGTAGAGGATGTGGGTGGGAAGGGTAAAAGGAAAAAACACTTAACAGATCCAAGAATGTAAAATTTTCTATTGAAAATTATGTATATGGTAATATCCTTGATGTATCAAAATATAAATAAATAAAATGGAAAAATAGATAGATAAAATGCACAATTACTGATGAGTCTGTTAGTGTTGCTATTCTAACATAAAGTTTAAAGTTAATTTAATATGTAGTAAAGCATTTTTATGTTTCTCTCAAAATAGTTTTATTAAGTTCCAGCATTTCAGTATTGCTATGTTTGCTATGTGGGTAAACTATGTGGAATGATTTTTCTTGACCATACTGAGCCTAACTACTTCATTATTTCATTTATTTCCCAAGGAACTGTATAGTTTAGTATGTAACCTTTCATAAAATTAACCAATAAACTAATAGCTACCAAGTAACACCTGTTAGCCAAGGATTACTTAAACAATTAGTTGTACTATATCATAAATACTATTCTATTAAATTGTCAAATTTATCAAAAAAACTTTAACAAAGGAAAAGAGATATCCTACCTCTATTTCAGAAGCTGACATGTACACAGCCAGAGTAACCAAAGACAACACTAGTATAATGTATGGGAAGGCATAATCTGAAAGACAAGCATCGGTATTACATTGGAAATTAAATTTTTTTGAGTAAACCATCAAAAACATTTGAACAGTAGAGTTAAAGCCTCTCTCAACTGATTCTGTGACAAACTTAAGTCTAATACCCTGAGGCAAGGGACGACAAACTTTTTCTGGAAGGGACCATATGTTACATATTTTTGGCCTTAAAGGCCATACAGTCTCTGTCTCAAGTGCTCGGCTCTGCCGCGGTAACGGACAAGCAGCCGTAGGCAACACGTAAACAGGCCCCGCCACTGCGGCACAGCAGTAACACAAGGTACGGCAAGGCTGGACGCCCCGTTACTGACTGCCCATCTGGATTCCCAGGTCAGTCGCAAACACACTACACACAAGCGTGGGTGGCTGTCCCACTATGCTGAAAGGAGAGCATGGAGTAATGGAACTCTGTCAAAATATTTTTCTCTCTTGCACATATACAGGCTCTCTGTCATTAGCAGCAACAAAAAAGGCAACATATAAATGAAAGGGCAGGGCTATATTCCAATAAAATATTATGGACAGTAAAATCTGAATTTCATATAATTTTTGCATGTCAAGAAATAGTAGTCTTTTGATTTTTTTCAACTATTTAAAACTGTGAAAACTATTCACAGCCCATCTTTGAAGGGCTTTGCTTTAAGGCATCCATTGATTATAATTCTCTCCTATATATCTATTAATAGAATGATACCAGTTATCATTCTTGGGAGAACTTGGGGAGAAATGAGAAAACAGTTACTCAGATAAGTTTCTTTTTTGTGATTCAGGTGGAGAATCTCAGTTGAGAAAAGCTATCTATAACAGTAATTCAGTTTTTAATTAATTATACAAGTTCATTTATTAATAAACTTCAAAGGACAAGTAACTCATTTGGTATTCCTAATATTAAAATTCTGGAAACTTCTACTTCAAATACAGTACAATAATAATACTTTAAGCAAATCTTTTCCTATAAAATACCACCTTTCTCTTAAAATGCTTTTAATTATAGTATACTAAATAAACAAATTAAGAAAAAGTATCTTGGGGTCAGCAATGGCATAATGGTTACATTGCTGGACTCCCACACAGTTTAGACCATCATTTGAGTCCTGAACCCAGTGGCTTAAAACTCACACCAGGCACATGTACATGCATGCCAAAAATCCCTAGAGGAGAACGGAGGAGAAGGAACTGTGGCATGGCCATTCTCACCGGGGGTGATTTCTCGCATTCTGCCTCTGTCTCTTTCTTTCTCTCCAGCGAGCGCATGTGCCTTGTTGCAAAAATCTCTCAAAAATAAAAAAGAAAAAAATACCTTGAATTATTTTTCCATATAATAATAGTTTCAAGTCTCTTCTTTCCTTGGCATTTACCCTCAGCTCCACCATTACCCTGAAGTAAATTACATTCCACAAACTATAGTACCAAATTGCATTACTAAGCTACATTATGTGCATAAAGACAC